AAACGTAAAAAATAAATAAATTAAAATAGAAAAAAATGCTTAAAAATATTTATTAAAATCATGTGGGTCTCTCCATTGCATCTTCCACCTCCCATCACAACCACCTCTTATTGCCGACAAAATACATCATCATCTTGTGTAAAAAATGTCACGTTTCTGTGAAGATATCATGAAGATTGAAGATGACATTTGAAGTTGTATGATAAGTAGTAAAAAATTGTATAAACAGAAAAAATGTGTAAGAAATTTGAGGTTGTATGATAAAAATTGTAGGGAAAATTCTCGAAATAGGAGTAAAAAAGATTAAAAATTCCAAAATAGGACAGTCATGTTTAAAGTCCGGTACTGCCAAAACAGTAATTAGTCCTATTTTGGGAATAAAAACATGATAGTCCTATTTTGGAATACACAAACGTTTTTAGTCCTATTTAGGGTTGTTGAGGTTTAGTCCCGCAGATCCGAAAGCCCAACACGAACTTTGGATATATCAGGAAAATGGCTCAAGAATCACGTGTATAAAGAAATATAAAAGATGATTATCGAATACTCCAAAGCCCACTTGTATTAAATAATTGGGAGATTACACAGTAAACTTCCCGAACGGTATGTCGGAATAGTGACTAATACAAGAAATCAGAGAGATAAATCTATTCTAGGCTTTGAATATCAAGAAGCTAACCCTTTACAATGAAATTAATCCTTCTATTTATACTAATGGGGGTATGGGGTGCTTCATGTTGATTGGTTGCTTTATCTAGCCACTTGAAACCCCATACTTCCACTTGTTGCCGCCATACTTTAGCAATAAATGCTCCCAGCCACTTGTTGGCTACCCGTTGCCCGAACGGGTAGTGCGCCCTGCTGGAATCATCACTGATTTGGCCCAAGTACGTTTGTTGACCCGAACCCCGTTCGGCACATATTTCTCCATGATCCTGTTCATCTTCTGGATTCTGGGCCCGTTTATCGGACTGGATATAGTGGGCCTTTAATTCGGGTATTGGGCCTGCGGCCCAATATCCCAACATGAGTCCCCCACTTCCGATGTCTCGAATGGTAGTGAGTGTTTGGGAAGTAGAACTTTACACGCGGAATGGCGATCGAGCTCTAGAATTCGCTGGTTCCCCATGCTATGATTAGTACCTTTCTTGCGGCTGTCGTTTGATTTTTTCCATAATCGTCGTGATTACTGGCCCTTGATTTCCTGTGCGACACGTGTCCTTTCAAATAATCCAGGTGACATGTCTTCTTCTGATTGGTTATTGATTTGGCGCTTGCCAGGCTATAAATGGGCCTTGAAATCCTTGGATAAGGGTTTCGAATTCTTATTTCCTTCGAGCCCTTGTTCTGCCTTCTCTCCAGCTTCTTCAAGTTTTTTCTGAGTTCAGGTATTCTTCGTTCCTTATCTTTTCTCCTCTACTTTTCTGCCTCGATCGATATGTGTCCTCGACCCTGCTCCTCTGATTCGGGAACGGCTTCCCAAGGGGAAAATCAAGATGTCGTCGTAGTGGACGTCATACCCATCCCCTTTGCTGAAGGCACCAGTGAGGCGGTGGAAGAAAATAGGGTGGAGGCAGAGGACTCTTCCGCCGGTTCTTCTTCTACCGATGATGATTCCGATGGTACACAGTCTGGTGACAAACTTGCTTCCATGGCGGCTGGACCCCCAGGCGACGTTCCTCGTTACAAGATTGACCTAAGGCTAATTAGGGAAAGACGGCAGAAGCTGACTTCTCATAGTAGGGCCCAGATTCCGGCCCTAACTCCAGACCCAATGAATTTCCGGTTGCGGACTGGGCTTCACCCAATGCGCCATCTCCACGGGATGGTCGTAGTCCACTTGGACTCCGTTAAGGTTGGGCTTAGATTCCCCTTGCACCCCTTTTTTGTTTCTTTTTTAAATTTCTACGAACTTGTTCCAGCCCAAGTCATGCCGAACTCCTATCGGGTGATGGCTGGCTTTATTTGCCGTTGTGTAGATGTTGGGGTCACACTCACTTTAGATTTATTCCACCAATTTTTTAAAGTAGGCCCCCCAGCAAACTCATGGGTATTTAGCTACAACTGCCCGAATGGGACATATCCTTTTTAAGGGTAATCTAACTTCAATTAAAGGGTGGAAAGAGCGATTCTTCTTCGTTTCTATCCCGGACGGTCTGATTCCTAACACATGGAATGACTTTCCTCGTAAATCACCGGATCCGATTCTAACTGAGACGATCTGTAGAGGAAGCCAAGACTTGCAACATTCTATCATATCTGACCACCGATCAACTCACCAAGGTCAGGATAGGTACTGCCCGCTCTCTTGGGTCTACTTGTTTGAGAACCAAGTACCATGGACCGGGCGGTCCTTCCCGTGCGAGAAACGTTCCATTTCACTTTGTTTCCCACGCGATAAGGTCGCTCGGTACTAATATTTTCCTTTATCATTTTGTCAGTTCCCAATCCAGACGCTTTAATGGACAACAGTCTCGTGTTAGCAGCTGGTGGTGTGGGGAAAAGGAAGAAAGCCAGGAAAAATCCCAAGGCCAACCCTTCCGTTGCTAGTACTCAAGAGGCATGCTCTTCTCAATCTGTTCTGGAGCCTGAGCCCATTCAACAGGTTCCTCCTAAGGATCAACTGGATGATATGTTGATCGACGATCGGTTTGGATCCGATCAGCTGCATAACTTCACTGAGCACTTTCAGGTTGCTCAGGATGTTAACCAGGATACGGGTGGCACTCATTCCGTCCACCTTTCTGGCCAGGTCGACCGGATCTCACTGGCAGATCCGGTTCATGAAGTTGTAGAGAAGGTTGGCTGTTCGGCGAGTCAAATTTGGTCTACCTCTGCATTCTTCAACAACTTTGTTGTTCCCAAGGTGCCGGTCGAGCAGTCGGAGGAATGTTTGGCCTTAGCGGCCTTGAAGGTATTTATTATATATATATATATACATATATATATATATATACATATATATATATATATATATATACATATATATATATATATATTTATTTATAATTTGTTTCACATGTTTACCCTTTGTTCCATATCATCTCATTTCTCGAACGGAATTCTGTAGGTGGGGCTATACAGCTTGCAGCTGAGGGAGGCCCGGTTGGCCAAGGAACGGGACGTGATCGTCGCCCAAACCTCAGCGGAGCAAAATACTGCCGCTGCCCTCGCAACTCTGGAGGCCGAACAGAGGGCCTTTGCTGAGGAAAGGCAGAAGCTTAAGAATGAGGTAGGGGGCTTCGAGTTCAACTGGCCACTGCCCAGCCTAAAATTTCTGCGGCTGCGGCCGTTCAGGTCAAGTTTGCAGAAACGGCTCCCCGCATCCCTGACGGTCCTACTGAAATTGATGTGGATCTGTCCGCCGTTCGGGATATGTTTAAATCCTCTGATGAATTTACTGCTATCAAGGAGGAATACGCCCGGCAACAACTGCCAACCAATTTTGGGGCTTATCTCGATCAATTCCCTCGGGGTGACGTCTGGCGTCAAGAAGGGGTGAAGCTGCTTGATCAGGATCCCCGGGGTAAACTTTTTAATGACTCCTTGGCAAAATCCCTTTATGTGATGGGCTGCCAGCATATTCTGGCCCCCTTCGTGACCAAGCTTCAAGAAACGCTAGGGAGGCCGGTCGAGCTTGCCGATCTTCCGTCGGCCCCCATCGTTGAGGCCCAATTTGACAAATATCAAAGGGACCTACAACGGGCCGCTGATCGCGAAGCGGGGAGAGAGCCTGAACCCCCTTCTGACTCGGATGAAGATGAAGATGATGATTGTGATAAGGAGGCCACCGAACAGTAGTTTTTATCAATTATTTTTAGTATTTGTAATTTCCTCCCCCCTTCTTCTTTTTTGGCATATGATCATTGTATTTCCCGGCCAGTAGAGCCGATGAATATATCTGAATCCTTTTTTGCTCAATGCTTTATTTATTATCTTTCTTGTCTTTATCAATTTCTTGCTTTACCAGTCGGTAATCGGTCTGTTTCATGAGACTTAACATTTTCTTCTAACCCTCAGTTTTTTGAGGGCTTCCGAAAATTCACCAGGACTTGACCCCTTTTTTGTGTTCCTTGTTATTTGGATTGCCGTCCGGGCATCAGAAAGTTCTGTAGGACTTGGACTCTTTCTTGTGTTTATTGCCATTTGAATTGCCGTCTGGGCTTCAGAGTTCGGGTATTAAAAATTGAATTAATCCCAACAAGGGTAATTTCCCAAAATGGGTTGTATATTTCAAGAACTGTAGTCAAGACTAATAGATTTGAAATAACTGAAGGATCTATATCACTAATACTCGATTAGTTGTATGTGATTTTACCAATTAAACTGAATCAGAAACAGGCCGAGTAATTATAGACGGTCTAACAGACGATCTAAGGATTTTTTTACTTGAACTTGATTTACTGGTCTGATCTGGTTTGTTTAAATCTGGGCTGCGCTGGTATATTCTGTTTAAGTCTGGTCTGGTCTCTGTGTATTTTATAACTACGTAAGTTAAGTTTGATCTGGTCTTGTTTGTTTAAGTCTGATCTGGTCTTGTTTGTTTAAGTTCTTATCTAGTCTGGTATGGTCTAGTCTGTTTAAGTCTGGTCTGGGTCTGGGACTGAAAATAGTCCTAGTAAAAACTTCCTAATCCCTCTCTATATACTACTACCCCTGTCCTAAATTGATTTGCAAATTTGACTTTTCTTGTTTAAATTGTTTCATTTTATCCACTTAATTAGGATGTCAATTTTTAATTATTTTCTAATTTGAAGTTTGCAATTTTGAAGAGATTTTAATGTAGTTCCTGACTATGTAAATTTTAATTATTAAAAATTGAATTAATTACCAATATGGAGGATTGAATTTTATTAATGATTGAACAAAAAATATTGAATTTGAAAAACAATTTGGAAGGGAGTACGTTTTTTAACCCAATAAAAACCTCCGGTCGAGTTTTTTAATTAACATATATTCAACCTCCGCGAATACCTTCAGCATCATTTCACAGGATTAGAAATTATCTGCAAGAAGAGATTTTCTTCCCTAACTGCTAAAAAAGAACTTTTCTAAAAGTTATGGGAAATCAAGTTTCTTGCCGTAGTAGTGTTTCAATTAGTGGCCATCTCATAGAAGCTTCATGCAAGGTACTCCTCCCCGGCGGGGAAATCCAGAAGCTCCGGGAGCCGATCAAGGCGGCCGAGATCATGCTGGAACATTCCGGCCACTTCTTGGTCAACGCTGGATCCCTCGTCGCCGGGAGGAGGTTCTCCGGCGTCGCGGCGGACGATGACTTGGAGTTCGGGAGTGTCTACGTCATGTTCCCGATGAAGAGGTTGGGCTCGGTGATCACCGCCGCCGACGTGGGGATGCTTGTCAGGGCGGCCGCCGCCTGCACGGAGAAAAGGGTGTCTGCTGGGAACGGGACAAAGGTCTCTCCGGCAGAGGGGGGTGTTGGTTCGCCGGGAAATGACGTCGGCCGGATTGACCTCGGGGTGGAGTATCGCCGACATAGGTTGTCGGCTTGTAGATCGAGGAAGCCTTTGTTGGAAACAATTGCGGAAGAACCTGGCCGTACACGTGGGAGTTGATCAGGAAAATCTACACTAAGGTTATTTTTTGTTTGTGTTTGGGTGAAAAGTGAAAACACATTACTAAATCTAGAAAGGTTAGGAGGACACTACGTAATGTCAAGATAGGATAAAAAGTACACCTTAGTTACCTCTATGAATGTTTGGTTTTTTTGTTGGTGAATAGACAATTTTTTCTGTGTTACACATAGAATATTTTGTGACTGAAAACTTATCAATTCATATACAAAACATCGAGTGTGTACAAGAAGTGAAATTACTAACTCTGGTATGATGAGAGTGGTTTGTGATTTTCAACCAATGTTGTAAAACTCTCTCTCTTTTTTATTTTACACAATTATAATACTCCGTAATAAACTATTTTAGCCTAGAGATGCATTTGCATTATTATTTCAATCACATCCTTCGAAAAAATGTATGAACTTATTTGTGTTCAAACATGTAAGTTGATGATTCATAAGAACTTTAGAATGTGTGATGTTCTCTTTTGTTTGAGATGGCTTAGAGATGATCTAATTTTTGCGTGTAAATAATATACGTCAAATAAACTAAGTGTTCAGATTTGATAATAAGTTACTTCCTCCTTTTCACAATGAAAGTCACAATTTGACTTTTGACATTTTAAGGGAGTAAGATTTTTGTCCTTGACTTTCCTTAAATATCCTTACAAAAGCGAGGGTAATAACTAAACACTCCCATGGTAAAAACAAACAAAAGTGTGGCGAGGAGCAAAAGGAATAAAGCAATGTACTCTAGAAGAACTAGACCTGTACAAACACAGCACGGCCCGTCCGGCCCGCCCAGCCCGCCCATATAAATGGACGGGTCTGAACATGTATAATTTGCTCATCGGGCTGGTCCGAGCCCGACCCGTAAAAAATATGGGCGAGCTTGGGTTATATTGTAGCCCGTTCGGGCCAAAAAGCCCGGCTCGAAAAAATAATAATATATGTAGTACATATTACTAGTATTATTTTATATAATACATATTATATATATTTATATTTATACTTGTACGTATATAATGAACCATATTAGTGATGGGAAAACAGCCACAAACGGTAACTAATAAAATGCGGAATTAATTTCCGTTTGGCTAAACTTTCTCAACTTGAATGAAACTTTGAGGATGCAAACAAATAGGGTGTTCTTAATCCAATTAGAACACACACAATACCACTGGTATGCACCAAAATATTGAGCTAAAAACAGTAAGCACACACACACACAAAGACACCAGAATTTTAGCGTGGAAAACCCATAAATTAGGGGAAAAACCCACGGGACCATTTTGGCCGCTTAAATCCACTATCATCATCAAAGGAGTAGTACAAAGTCTTCTCTAGATAATACTAGAGGCATACAAAATCATCATATCCTTGGAACTAAACACATCAAGGTGTATGGAATCAAAGTAGAGCCAAGATAAGAAAAATATCACCAGAAAAATAGCTACTGTCCAGACCCACAAAACCCGACCTCCGGACCTCAAAACCCGATCTCCACCGTCCAGAATGTTGGCCCAGATGCTGTGTAGCTTCTGTCCAAAACTCACGACGATCCAACGGTTCAATCTCCGGGAAACGGAACTTTTATGTTGCTGCCTACTGAAAAACGGGATGAGCATTTAGCTCATGTTTTGTGACTTGCTCTCTCAATCTTTTGCTCTCTTTTGATCCTTATGTTTGAGATAGATGGCAGACCCTCTTTAATTAGAAGCTCCCAAAATAGAAAGTCCAAATAAGACATTAATGGGCTCAATAGTTGGGCTTTCCTCATGGGTAAAAAATAAAGAAAGAACCCAACAAATCTCCCCCTTTTTGACTTGTGAGGAAGAGTTCGCCATGCCGGCGATGGAGCAACATACCTTCAACTTTTCCCTTGCTAGAACCTTTGTTAACATATCGGCACCATTATCATCGGTATGAACTTTATCAAGTTTAAACAGTTTGTCTTCAAGTGCATCTCTAATCCAATGATACCTCACATCAATATGTTTGGTTCGTTTGTGAAACATATAATTTTTAGCAAGGTGAATAGTACTTTGATTATCAAAAAGAACTACGTAGCGTTGTTGCATAAAGTCAATCTCTTGCATAAATCTTTTGAGCCATAATAGCTCCTTGCACGCTTATATTGCAGCCACATACTCGGCCTCAGTGGTGGATAAAACCACACACTTTTGCAGTCTTGATTGCCATGACACAGCTCCCCCCAATTTGGAAGTACCACGTAGATATCTGAGAATCCATTTCACTGCTTCCCAATGCTTCTTACCTGGGTTTGACAGAAAATGACTAACAACACCTACTGCATGAGCAATATCAGGTCGTGTGCACACCATATCATACATCAAGCCGAGGCATAAGGGACTCTATCCATCTCTTCAATCTTCTTCTCAGAAGATAGACAATCTTTATCTGTCAACCTGAAGTTGGTAGTAAGAGGAGAACTAACCTCTTTAGCTTTATCCATGTTAAATCTGCGAAGCATCTTTTCGATGTATTGCTCCTGTGACATGTGTAACTTCTTCAAAGGCCTATCTCGAGTGATCCGAATGCCAAGAATCTATTTTGCTGGCCCCAAGTCTTTCATAGCAAAAGACTTGCTCAATTGTATCTTCAGCTGAGTAATTCTTTCTGCATTCTTGCCAACAATTAACATGTCATCGACATATAACAATAAAATGATGAAATCACCATCACCAAACCTTTGAAAGAAAACACAATGGTCTGAAGTAGTCTTTCGATAGTTTTGCTCCCCCATAACTGACTCAAACTTCTTGTACCACTGTCTTGGTGCTTGCTTCAACCCATAAAGACTCTTTTGGAGTCTACACACATTGCCTTCTTTTCCCTTAACCTGAAAACTTTCAGGGTGCTCCATGTAGATTTCTTTATCAAGGTCACCATGAAGAAAAGCTTTTTTGACATCCATCTGTTCAACCTCGAGATCAAGACTGGCTGCCAAACCAAGAACAACACGAATAGATCCCATTTTCACGACCGGAGAGAAAATCTCATCAAAATCAATACCCTTTCTCTGACTGAACCCTTTGACCACCAATCTAGCCTTGTACCTAGGTTGTGAGGTGTGCTCTTCAGTCTTCACTTTGTAAACCCGTTTGTTCTTCAAAGCTCTCTTGCCTTTAGGCAACTTCACCAACTCAAAAGTATTATTCTCATGTAAGGAATCCATCTCATCTTGCATGGCTTCAGCCCACTCCCTTTTGTGCTCATCTTCCATGGCCTCTGCATAACACTCACGCTCTCCCCCATCAGTGAGTAAGACATACTCATTAGCTAAAAAATGAGTGGAAGGATGACGATCTCTGGTATACCGCCTAAGTGGGACAAATGGTGACACGTCTGGTACTGGTATCTATGAATGAAATTCTTCATCCACCTCTGGCTGTTGTGGAGCATCAATATCATCAGTATCATGTTGTTCATCATTTTGAACATCATCGTCAAGAGGTGGTTCTACATGCTGAGGAAGCACTGGATCCAAATCTGTAACATCATCATTATGTTGAGCCCAAAGGCCATGACGAGGTAGCAGAAAATTCCCTCCGGGGTCATGAAGGCCATCTTCTCGGCGTCATCTTCATGCATGAAGATCTGGTGGTACCCTCTGAAGGCATCCAAGAATGACATCAACTCACAACCCTCCATCTCGTCCACCAGCTGATCAATATTGGGGAGAGGGAACAGGTCCATGGGGCATGCCTTGTTCAGATCAGTGTAATCAACACACATCCTGAACGTCGGTGGCTTATGGGAGAGGACGACGTTGGCCAGCCACGTCGGGTCTTTCACCTATTTGATGTGGCTGATGGAAAGGAGCATGGTGACTTCCCTTTGACGAAGTCCCGTCTTTCGGCCGAGAGGTAGCGCCACTTCTGATTGACTGGAGTGGAGGCGGGATCGACTGACGGCCGGTGAGTGATCACCTTTCGGCTGATGCCTGGCATGTCGTCTGACCCCCACGCAAAAATGATTGCATATGACCACAGGACTTGGAGGATGCCGTCGTGGTGGTCTCGGGGGAGTTGCCTCCCAATTTTCAGGATTCGTTCCGGCCGAGAAGTGTCCAAGGGGACCTCCTCGACTTCTTCGGTTGGCTCAGCATGTGGCCTCTCCTCGTCCTTGGCGATGGTGGCAGTGATAGTGTCTACCCTTTGCTCGGTGCCTGCGGCCGGCTTCGTCAGCTTGAGGTAGCATGCTCTGGCTATCCTCTGATTTCCCCTGGTGTAGCCGATACCGCCACTGGTAGGGAACTTAGGGCACATGTGCTTCATGGAGATGATGGCCTCCAGGTCCTCTCGTGCCGTCTGCCCCCAGATCAGGTTGTGGGCGCACTCGAGGTTGACCACCATGAATTTTATGTCAATTTTGGCGCGATGGGAGCCGTCGCCGACCTCCACGGGGGATGACTATCGTGCCTTCGGCGTCGATAGAGTCCCCGGTGAAGCCGGACAATGGTGTTCGTATCGGCTTGAGTAATGCCCTGTCCAAGTTCAACTGCTTGAAAGTGTCCAGGTACATGACATTGACGGAGCTCCCCGTGTCGACGTAAGTACGGTGGATGATAGAGTTGCTGATCTCACATCGGACGATGAGGGCGTTTCCGTGTGATGCGGGGCCTGGAGGCAGATCCTTGTTGAAGAAGGTGATCGCCTCCGTCCGCTGCTTCTTCAGCTGGGGGGGAACGTGGGACACTTCCCCAATGTAGAGGGATTGGGCCCATTTCTTCCTCTGGGTGGCTGAGTCCCCCCAGTGTTGCTCACCACGATGAGGTGGATGTGGTTCTTCTTCGGAGGGGGCTCCTCAAAGTCTTCATCGTCATCTCTCAGTCTGCCGATCTCACGCTTCTTCGTAGAGGGTTCGCCCCCAGTTTTGCCGGTGTTTACCCACGTATTTTTGCGTGGGCCACCTTTAACAAATTGGGAGAGTTTCCCTGGTGAATTAACTTCTCGATGGCTCTCTTCAGCGTGACGCAGTCGTCTGTGTTGTGGGAGGTGTTGCTGTGGTAACGGCAGTAGGTGCCGCCCTGATGGACGGCGTAAATTTCCTTCGCCGACCGAGGATCTTGTTCAATGAGATCATGTTCCTTGGCATAATCGAGGATGGAGCTGACCGAATGAGTGAGGGGGTCTTCGTCCTTTCCATCCTCAGCCGCCATGGGCGGTCCCTCTTGTTCTGTCCGCCAGACCCATGGCGGCTCTGTTCTCCCTGACCTCGGTCCCCAGCCGAGGGTGCGCCCGGAGCTGGCGCAGTATTTATCTTCTTGGAGGGGTGCCCCCCGTCCTTCTTGTGGTTGTGGAGCTCGTCGGCGTCAGCGTATAAGTTCCCTCGATGGAGCGCCTTCA